GGTGTCATTACAGTATAGCAGATTTTCACCCAAAAATACACAGAAAAAAGAGCAGCTTAAACTAATTTGACCTTGATTTCATGTCCTAATGCACGCAAAAGTTATTGTGTTTCATGTTGCAAGAGGACAATGATGAGCTCCTCTTGTGATGTTGACCAGAAAAAAAAGCTTCAGAAAAGGCTAATAAAAAGTAAAGAGAAAACATAACTGAGGTGCTGAGTCTCTCAAAGAAATCCAAAAAACAATTAAATTTAGTTTTTTTATAATCAGATTTTCACTCAAATGTTTGTATTGTTTGTCCAATTTATACCATTGTTTGAATAAACTACATAAACCCTGACAACTCCTGATTTATTTTTGTATTAGGAGAAAAAAAAATCTGAAGTTCAGTAATCAATGAAGGTCAATACACACTTGCCAATTTCTGTGTATAATGAATCAAAGGTACTATAATAATGTGAGAGAATGAGAGAGAGGGTTGAGTGAGAGGAAAGAGAAGGGTGGAGTTGGAAGAGTAAGAAATGGACTTTGAGGGCAGCTGGAGAAAGCAAGAGGGGAAAAGCTTTAAAATAAGAAAAGTGTGTGTGTGTGTGTGTGTGTGTGTGTGTGTGTGTATTTGTGTGTGTTTAAGAGAGAGAGAGAGAGAGAGAGAGAGAGAGAGAGAGAGAGAGGGCAAAAATAGCGGGGGCACTTGGAGAGAGAGTTCTGCTTCTGTAATTACAGTCAGGTGTTTCTGTCTCTCCAGCCCAAACACTGCTGGCCCAATTACACACACACACACACACACACACACACTACCCGCTGCAGGGCTTTTAGGTGAAGCTAATGTGAAGAGGTGCAGTCCAAATCTCAGGACTGAGTATAGAGTTAAAATGAAGACAGGAGGAAGGAAGTAGCTCAGGATAGAGGATATGTTTGTGGCTGGGAGGTTGAGATTGCTGTTTGGATATTACTGTACTGTATATGCGCACAATGTGTGTTAGGGTGAATTATTTTCTATGATTGGATCACGATTATTCTTCTGTCCACTTTGTAAAAAAAAAAAATTGCTGAGCACTGTGAAATAGCTCCTCTGTAATTTAAAGCTGAGAAAAGAAAGGGCAAGTCTTGATTGCTTTGTCCTGCAGTTCATTTACTGTATATTATGTCTCTGGCTCTCTTCCAGATTAAGGCCAGACTGCCTACAACAGCTCTAGATACTCAGGTAACAGACCACAAACACTGATTGATGTATTACTTTCTAAAAGGCAATATGCCGTTGCTTTGAGACAGGTACCATTAACTCAAAAGATGTCGATCACCCTCACCCTATCCTAGTCCACAGGGCGACACGGCGTAGACCTCCAGCACTGATAATGGACTCAATCACTCTTTTAGACTTAATGATTCTGATGGAGATATATATATATATATTTTTTATTTATTTATTTATTTTTTTTTGGTGAGGAGGAGGAAGGGAGGAGGATTATCAATTCTTCATAGAATGAGTTAGCAGTCATTAAATCCCAGCTGCTCCAGAATAGAGTGCGAAGAAATGCTCTATATGCTGTCAGACTGCCATTTGAATGCTGTGAATCTGCACAAATTACACAAATATAATGATCTGTAGTCAGATATTTTACTAAAAAATCAATTCAGCTGTCAGCTGAAACATTAACCTCACACTGCTGTTGGGTTTCCTCCAAGAGAGCTGGGTCAAATGCCGCTGGTCAATAGGTTACTGTTGACCTTATTTCTGTTATTACCTGATTATATCCTCATCTCGTGGTTGATCTGAGTCCTTGCAATTTAGCACAACTGCTGCCCCCTTGACAAAAGAGGGTTGTGTTTATTAAGACTGATGTCAGAGTTCAGCAGTGTTGCTTTCATTATTCTGCAGGTCACAGTTTCAGTCTAAAATGTTGATCTGGGCATTTTTACTGAGCCTTTTCACCATTAAATCCAGCTGAGTGGTCTGCCCCATGCAATTAGAAATCATTAGTACATATTTATGTATTGAAAACACTCCTGTGTACTTCAGGGTCATGGTATTAACTATACAAATGGAGCTTAGTGTATTCAACATCTCCAGAGGAAGCAGAAAAAATGAGGATGGCAGAATATCGAGTATTGCTGTTTTTGTTAAAAGAGGCATTTAAGCAAATTTGGCACCATCAAGGCTGATGCTTCAGATGACTCAAATCAACATGAATAGATTTTGATTTCATGTCAGCTCTTTGCTTTTTCTGCAGTTATTTAATCTCCAACAGGTTGTATTTCAAAATGCCCTCAAATCAGAGGTGATTGATATTTGTCACTACTCTCAAACATTTTTTTTCATATATATATTTTTTATATTTCCAGTCTGGGGTGGGAAGAAACGGACAAGTGGTTCAGGGCTATCCGCCCATCATCGAGGCACAGCAGGAACATGAGGAAGATGATGAGGAGGAGGATGACGAAGCCATGTCTATATCTCTGTCATCGGAGCGGAACCAGGCAGTCAACCTCAGGGACACGGGTGGGAAGTCTCCACTAAGTCGACCCAGCCAGAAGACCACAGGACAGAGTTCCAGGAGGTCTCGGAGGAAGATTCAGGAAATTACTCTCACCACTTTAGACCCTTCCAACCTGAGCCCCAGGTGAATTTGATCACCATTGATTTGTCAGCCTGTGTATGCCTGTGTCTCTGTGACTCAGTGTTATGTATATTTTTGTCATTCTTTAGCACAGTGCATGTGGTAGAAACTAGTGATGGGCACTTTTGACAAGATGGGTAGTATAATTATGAGAGAGGGTTAAATCAGATACTTGACAGTGGCATAAAAACCACCTAACCAGTGTACAGTAAAATTGAAAAAATTACATGTAAAACCCCAACTTGCCATTTTTCCCTTGTGTTTTTGTATGGATTCAACAAAAAAGATGTAACTTGTTAATCAGTGAGCTTTAGGTGTTTTTTTGGTTTTGACAGAGCCAGGTTAGCTGTCTCCCTATGTTTCGAGTTTTTATGCTATGCTATGCTAATCTAAGCTAAGCGGCTTCTAGCTATAGCTTCACACCCTGGTATCAATAATCATCTTAATCTTATTTTCTGTGAAAGAACAACATTTAATCATATTATTAATTGATAATATTAGTTTCTAAATTATCCAACAATCATTACATCATCAGTAACAGTCTCTACTTTCCTACACACACACACACACACATCTTTCTCTCTGCAGGATAGTGGACGGTACTGAAGACAGTGAGGGGACGGAGAGTTCCCTGGCTTTCTCCTTCTCTACCAGCCGAGGCTGTCCCATCAATGAACCAACCAGTGCCTCAGCATCTGCCACAGGTCCTCCCATCCAACAGTACCCAGCAATTTACCACTCAAATATGACCCAATACCATTTACAATCCCTTTAACTTCCCACATGCTGGGAAATGAGAAATGTTCACATCCAAATCCCTGCAGTATGGTTGTATAATGAGGGTGATTAATGTGAATTTGCACTTTCTGTCAATGCCTGCAGTATTTATCAGCTTCCCTGTCGCAATAACTGCTGGGTGTAAATTTTTAGTTCCTATTTGGCACTTGAAGTGATTTGTAACTTGGTAATTTGTCACAGATATGCTGCAGATCAGCACAGCAGAGCTAGCAGCTAAAGCTGAGGAGACCAGAGGACAACTGCGACACCTTGACCAGCAGGTACAGTAGGACTGTTTGTGTGTGTGTGTGTGAGTGTGTGTATGTGGTAAGAGACAGAGAGAGAGAGACAGACAGGTGGGCTCAAGTAAGCACAAGCCATATGGCTATATCAGCATGTCAGGCACAAGATGGGTGAAAGGGCTGAGAGAAATAATGCAGCAAAAAAGCTGAAACAAAAATAAATAGGTATAAAGAATGACCAGATGTGGCGTTATAGCTGGTTAATAATGAGGCCACACATAATGGTGTCATTTGTCTACCACACTCATGAGCCTTACAATAAATGTGCCATAGTCTGCTGAAGCTCAGGACCTAAAGTGTTCCTTTTGTATTTGTTTTTTACTGCCAGGTATTAACAGACCTACTGTGCCCTGTCAGTCTCATTGTATAGTATCATTTTTGGATGTTTTATAGACTTAAGTGGTTCATTGTCCAGCTTGAAAATAATCTGTTCACACACACATACACCCACAGCCTCTCGTGCTGTATCCTACGGTTTTGATTGGCGGGTGGCTAAATTGACATTAGACTTTTGGCAGGTGAGGAGGAGTTTTTGCTTCCTCCTGCTAAGACTCAGTCTGTGTCCTGGGATGTGCAGATAGAGGCACAGAGAAAGGGAGACATGAAAAAGTGAGGGAAATGAAGAGGAAAAGGGGAAAGGGCAGATAGCTTTATGGGGAGAAACAAAAAGCAAATCAAAGAAGGATGAAAAGAGGAGCGTAAAAGACAATGCTTCAGCACTTTCACAGTTATACACATTGGCTCTGTTGTCCTTTCTGTGTCTCTGTGGGTTACCGGTGTTTGACAGGAAGTCTCTCAGCATGGTGTTGTAGGTTGTTAATCCTCACTTGGATCCATCCACACAGATCACCATAGGAGATGAAAAGGGGGTGTTGGTTTAAACCCTATCTGCTCTCTGCACAAACACAAATACAAGTGACAAATGAGGCCATTGTATGTTATGTGGCACATGCAGGATAGTTCAAAAATGTATTTATTTTTGTGTTCGTTCTGCAACATAGAAAACCAGTCCTCCCCAGTTCTGTAATTCAGTACTGTGGACATTTCCTCATCCAGTTTTTGTTGTTGCATCTCAACTGTAGGTGAAAAGCATCACAAGAAAACACTTTAACGCTAATGAAAAAACATTTTATAAATGCACGCCAAAAGAATGCAGGCTTGCAGGGGCCTAATTTATTGGTTGACAGTTCCCATTATTTCAGTCAAAATCAAGGAGCAAGGCCCTTTTGAGACCCGTACCCAATCATGTGAATAAAAAAGCACAAACTTCCATTGTAAGGTTAATTTATTTGCTGATTCTGACGTGAACCGCACAAAGGTGGCAGCATTTTAATGAACAACAAATTGTGTGTGAACACAGTAATGAACCAGCTCTGCCTTGGCCTGTGACCTCTTAGCTTTACCCTTTAACCTTATACAGCATCTACGCCACTGAAGGGTTTATTCAAGTGGGAGCTGAATAAGGCATTAGTCTTATTATATAGTTGAAGAGAGGCCTAACATGGTGACCTTTGTTCCATGTCATGGAATTCATAACAGCTGCACAGGAGAGCTGGAACAAAGAGAGATTTGCTTGAAGAGTTACACTTATAATAATAATAAATATAAATAAATTAGAATAGGCAAGAAACATGCAACATTGTGATACACACACATTCAGTACACGACAAATACACTTGAAAATGAAAAATGGGTACACACACGTATAGTGACCTACTTTAGTAAAGTAGGAAACAAGAACTAATACTGAAAGCTCTGAGCAGGTACAAAACAGAATTTTTAAACATTACAAAAAAACTTAACAGCAGCAATAATGTGATGAATGTAACTCCAATATTCACTCTTCCTTTTAAATCTATTTTGGTCTCCGCAGACCCAAAAGATTCTGGCTCTTCTGCCTGCTAAATACTCCTCTAGCATTTGGCAACCGGCTAAAGTAATAGCTAAATTTTCCGTCTCCTGTTTAGTGCTGACCAGGTAGTGTACAGTCTGATGGTGGGTTCAGGGAAAACTTTATCCAGCATCCATCAGCTTTTGTAAGTTGTGGCACCTCTTTATTTTTCTCTAGCCACAGGCTTAACAACCAAAGGCCTAGACTTTCCAGGAGAGTGCTTCAAGATCTTCCCAAGTTGGAAATTAGGCTAGGAAAACTACTTGCATGTTTATAGTAGTACGGTTAGTCCTAACTTCTCTTGGGTCCGCTACTTGAAGAGTATCTTAACCATTGTCACATTCAGAGATCATATCATCTGAGATCTGAGCTAACTTCGTCATGCTCACGCTCCAGTTCTGCATATAAATGATTTGATTCATAAATGGCACAAAAAGAAATTCCTTGTCATCAGAAGCCTCAGGGTACATTTATTCAGACGCAGATATTTTTTTAAAGTCATGGTCCAGTGAAAATATTGATCCTATTATATTTTTCGGGAGAGCTTAACATGCACCTGAAGCCGCAGTGGTCATCCATGGCTGCTGGTTTGTCTGACCATCTCCACAGACGGTTGTCTCTGAGGTGGGAGTACTGGAATCATGTTGACAGCGTTTCAGATTGGACTGTCCTGTCGCGCTCAGCTTTTTCTATTTTTATCAGTACCAGAGTTTATCAGCCACTCCAGAGACGGAGAGAGATGGGAGAATTGTGAAAGAGGGAGAGAGAATATTTTTTCTCTGTTAAAATTATTGTCAGGGATTCAGTATGATAGATCAGAGTTAAAACAACCTCAGTTTTAAAGGATATCAAGAATGTTCAGAGTATCAACTGATATCTGAATAAGACAATGAATTTCATCACAATATAATACACTCATGCACTCAGCCTGATCACCTCTTGACGTGTTCACACAGCGACTGGAGCAGTTCCCACCTGGAGTTGCGTGTCCTGCTGAGGGCTGATGTGCATCCAGTAGCACTGATGTGCGTGATTGGCCTGATGAATGGTCATGAGCGGTTTGACTGGCAGAAGCAGATGGCTTGTTGGCAGCGCTTCACGGTCGTGCCCTCTATGGACACGCCACGTGCAGAGACCAACTAATCTCCAGCCCCCCCTCATCAGTGTAATGACCAATTATAGCAGCACGATGTTACATGCAAAATGGCAGGCAGGAGAGAGAAATATTTTGACCCAAAATAAATGACTGACCTGAAATTACCAAATTCATAATGATGTGCCGTATATCCTGGGGCTTTTTGTTCCTGGTAATCTGTGAGTGTTTCCTAGTAATTTTGTCTTTTTTACATTGAAAAGTCAACTACATGGCAGCAACTTCATTTTGAGAATTATAGGCATAGAGGCCATTAGGTTTGGATAGCAGAGGTGGTGGCAGAATCAAATGCCTCAAGCAACGAGAGGAATACTGGTAAGTTCATTGTTACTAGGAAAGCAATTGTGTTAATACATGTTGCTTTATTTTGATAATCTACTAGACCATTATTTATTTAAGATGTAATCCTGATTTAAGGCCTGGTTTAATTGTCAAGATGTGCGGTTTCCTCCGTATAAGCAAGTACAGTTCATTACTACAGCAAATACTTGAAAAATACAACATAAGAGTAATTGGTGTGTCTTTTTACAGTGCAACCAAACAAAATAGTTTTTTTATAAAGTATCTGTCAAAACTAATTGCAACCACAATCCGAACAGCAGGGCATGTCCCTTAGTAAATGATAAATGGTAAATGGCGGCATTTTTATAGCACTTTTATCCAAAGCGCTTCACAATTTGCATCATTCACCCATGAACTGCCAACCCTTGCAAAAAAAATATATTTTTTTTATTTAAAAATGCAGAAAATCCCCATGACTTGTTTTATAGATGCATTTATGATGAACGATCATAGTTAGTGCAAACTTCAGTGACGAACACATTTTGTTTCATTTGGCTTCTTCACAATAAAAGCCACCCTGTGTTTTGCCAGTTGGATGCTTATAAGCAGCGGCAGTAGGAAAGTTTGCATTGGCAGTAAATTAAACAGCTCTTACACTGTGTGAAGAGAGCAAACACTAAACAGTGAGGCTGTTATCAATGAGATAAAATGGTTGCCGGATTACATGCATGCATCATTTCCTGTGAATCTTTTGAGCATAGGTAGGCAAATTAAATCCAGTGCAGGAATGGCGGACTCTGCCACCACACTACACTACATATTATGTCACACCCAATCCAATTTTTCTTCCTCTTTAAAACTAAATATGATTTGTGTTTGCGTCTTTAGGTGAGCACCCTTGGGAGGGAAGTGGCCGACCTTGGACGAGTCATGAAGAGAATGGCCCAACTAATGGAGACCCTCATGTCATCAGTGCCACAACCTGCAGTAGTCTGCCCCACACACTACTCTCCAGCACACCACACATATCTGCCCCATCCTAACCCTCCTCAGTCTTACCCTTCACCATCCTCTTCTCAGACTGCCTCCATCTGGATGGACACACCCATGTCATTGCCCTCTTCTCCCCTCATTATTCCTCAGCAACATGGTGCGATATGCCACAATGACTCCCTTACACACCGACCCCAGGAACTCCAGTTGGGGTATCCTGCTATCCCCAGCGCAACTTTACCTCCAACTCCCAACTCATCTGCCCTTCAAGAGTCTCACCTGCCTTCCTCACCCCTCAGCTCACCAGAGACTTCCCACTACAAAGACGGGGTTCCTGGCTCCATCAGGTCGGGGCTGCACAGTCCACCCCTGCAAGACGGGGGAGATGAGGGCCCTCATCAGAGCTCTGGGTGTTCTCCACCAACTGGACTTGGGGAAACCTACCACAGCACGACCAGGGGTTTGTAGCAGCCCTCCAGATGAACTTCCTGGACTCTCCTGGACTCTGCAGGACTTTTTCCAGGATATTTTTTGGGATATGTTCCTGACCTACAGATCAAACTGATCAACTGGGGTCCCCCATATCACTGGAGGACGTTTGCAGGGATGCAACTCAGTTTCTTTTTGTTTTAAAGGCACGTGTTTAAAAATCATGTTGCATGAAAACAAGTACAGAAGGTTTAGGTGTGTTAGCTTTACCTTATAGAAACGTAGTGTTGTTAGACAGGGTGTAGAGGTTTGGGTCAGTTGTGGAGCTGTATGATGTCAGCTCCCTGGGCACAGCTCACCACCAACCCGCTACCCCTCCCACCTTTAGGTGGGATTGTGCCATAATGGAGGACAAGAGGGATATGGAAGAGGGAGAAAGTTCTTTTCTGTCCTCTCTTTTTTTCCCCTGGCTAATTTCAGGTCGGTTGGGCTGGTTGGAGGATGTGAAAGCATCGTGAGTGGTGGGCTTTTGAGACAAGGAGGGGAGGGGTGGGAGCCGTTAATGTCCTTCCCCCAACCCCCTGTCTTTGCTATTTCCTCTCCTTTTAACCCTTCTTTCCTTGCTCACTCAACCCATGCCTGATGTTCTGAATTGTGTGGACCAGTGTGTAGCTAGCTGGGGCTGGTCGCACTGGGAGCACAGAATGGTGTGAGAATAGAGAGGGGTCGTATTGTGCTCTTTGCCGCTGGCCCTCAGGGAAGGGGAGGTGGAGGATGGAGGAAGTTGGTTATGGAGGTGGTGGGGGGGTATGTTATGCCTCAGGCAGCACAGCCCCTGCTGTCGTCTGTCACACTGAGCACAGGGACTCTTTCTCTCTCTCTGTTTCTCCTTTCCAGTGTTTCTCTCCACACACCTACCACTCTCTCTCTCTCTCTCTCTCTCTCTCTCTCTCTCTGTCTCCCTCCTTCTTTCTCTTTCTCTTGCTCTCTGCATGCCTTTCCGAGCCTTTTGAGTAGTGCCTGTAGACACACATTAACATGCTGCATGTCACCCTGTGGAAATCCAGCTTGCCATTTATCTATCTATTTAAAGGAAACACGATTCAGTCTTTTAATAGCTGAACATGGCATTTACTGATGCATATTTATTGGATGTTGGCTCAGTTTAAACAACTCGGTAATTTTAGCACAAGGTAGTCGCCCCTGTTGTGAAGTGGCCTGGAGCAAACTGCCAATACTAAATTGGTTCATGATCCACGATGTAGGCCATTGATCCCTGATTGTCACCCAGGGTTATTAGCTCTGAGATCCATTTTCTTGGCTGTTCAGAGCAAAGGCAATATTCCCACATAAAAGCACAATAAGGAAATAAAGACGCTTTTATATTTCTATGAATGTATCATTACTAAAGATGTATTTTTTTATCTCAAAGAATGCAAGAGTGTGGGATAGCAGTAAATGATGCTACTATATATGAGGTTATGGCAGTGCTGTTTGCTGGTACCAGCCAATGCAATCTTTAACCAGGAAAAAGGTCCTAACTCTCATCCCGGCAGATCTACTGTTCTCTTTTGAATTCATGTAGGTTTGACTCTGCTTCTCTGCAAATGGAATGTACTGTAATCAAACATCTTTTTTCCCTTAACATTTTGATATTTATTAGATACAAAAAAACTGTTATGCTAATAAACGACAAATACGACTGTTATGTCCGGGCTTTTTTTTCTGGTTTTTGTTCAATGTTCACAGAAACATTTTATCAATGCTGGGAAGAGGTTATTAGAGGTCATCACAACCAGGAAATCTTCTTTTTCCGGAAACAAATATGCTTTAATACATTAATTGATGATTATGGAAGGCCTTAATGTTTAATTTTGTGTTTTGGAAGTCAGTGGATAAACTGACAATTTAACATCCTCATTTGTGTAAATTTCAAATTTAAATTAATTTCTCGATCAGTTTTATGGACCTGGCTAAAATAAAAATAGAAATGACCTGATGAATTGGCTTAAAGCCTATTTTTCCAACAAATTTAATTTAAAAAATGTTTTACTTTAAATTGGCGACATTCTGATAAATGAATGGGTGAATGCATAATGTCCATGGATTACAGCTAAACCAGGTATAAATTATGCTATGCCACATCAAAACTTCAAAGTCTACAGCCATATTAGCAGCACTGTGAGGCTGTACTTGTACTTAACATGCTCACAATGATTACATATACTGTCAATGATTTTAACATGGTGATGTTTAGCAGGTAGGATATTTGCCATGGTCACCATCTAAGTTTAGCATAATGACAGTAGTGGAAGAGATTGGGGATCTCCAGTGTTATTACAATTCATGCTGTGGGAGGTGTGAATGTGTGTGCAGTATTTTATGGAAATCCATCCAGTAGTGGTGAACTGACATACTGACATTGTCATCCCTAGAGCCATACTGCTAGCATGGCTAAGAACACACAGATCATCATCAGCATACTGGATTTTTTGACCTGACAAAAACATAAAGACATCTTTAAGCATCTAAGACTGGTTCAGATGTCTAAAGTGTCCAAAATATAGCCCCTTGTGTGGTTCATACAACCAAAAATGAATACTGACTGAGGAAATTGTTGTGAATTTTAAATCATATCAGCTTGCACCATAGTATTGAGTAACACTGTGTAAGACAAATATTCCTTTGTTTTCAATTGTTCTTGCCCTCTTCGTACACCAACACCAAAATACACAAACACACAAAGTTAATAATGCCATATCTCTGACTGTTGCTTGTCTTCACTCTGTTTATAATAGTAGTGTGTATTTGTTTTGTACATGCATGTGTGTGTCTGTCTTTTATAAGCTGCTGCTACGGTTCATCTGAGGTGAAAGCATGGCAATCGTCATGTCCCTCTGGTGACGTGGGCGGGAGTGAAAACTGAGTAGTATGCGTGCTGAGGATCACATTGACACATCTGTCATCGGTCCAGCTGCTCACACCTGGCGAGGTGCCGCTCCACTGTGTGTCTGTGTGTTTGTCTCTTAGGAAATAGAGTACATGGGTTCAGCAGGGATGCAATCGAGTTATACTTCTTGGGTATTTATGAAGGAGGTAACATTACAACTGTGTCAAGATGTGTGTGTGTGTGTGTGTTTATGAATGATTTTAGAGGGAGCAATAATGTGAGCGGTCAAAATAGTCCCGAC